CGCAGTGGCTCACGCCTGTGATCCCAGCACTTTGGGAGGCTGAGGTGGGCAGGTTACCCAAGGTCAAGAGTTCGAGACCAGCCTGGCCAACATGGTGAAGCCCCTGTCTCTACTAAAAATACAAAAAATACAAAAATCCCAGCTACTTGGGAGGCTGAGGCAGGAGAACGGCCTTAATCTGGGAGGTGGAGGCTGCAGTAAGCCAAGATCGTGCCACTGCACTCTCCAGCCTTGGCAAGAGCAAGATTTCATGTCAAAAAAAAAAAAATTATACATATAAATTTTAAATATGCACATAAAAAAGAATGAAATATCCCAAATTGCTATGAATGGTTGGTTGCCTTACAGTTGCTGATATTATAGTTGATTCTTCTTTGCTTTTTTTTTTTAATTTTCTTCACCACTCTTTTTTTTGGAAAATGGGTTAGAAATCAGAAATTAGAAACCTGAGCCAATGTGACCACTCAGTAAATGTCTAGTCTTTTAGTAAATACCAATCATCTCAAGCAACAAAAAAAGGCAAGTGAAGACCATATATTTGTTTCCCCATAAGCTTGTAACCAGGTGGTATGTTACAATGAAAGCAAGTGATGGCCCAAATTCTTCTAAACATAAAACACTTAGTGGCCAGAAAGTCTACCTTTGCTTCTATAATCCCAAATAAGTCCTCCTTTCTGTTCTCAGGCACAAATATTGAAATAAAATTTTCAATGAAATAGGAGCAAGTTTCATCCTTAGGGAGACACAATATTCCAATAATAAGATCCAACAACATATTGTCAGGTGTGTGAAGTAGACAGATAAAAAACAAATAGAGCTCTGGGCCTTGAGTACTGCTGTATTTGACAGATTTTTAGTATCTTCTTCCTAAAAAAAAGATGATGGAAACCAGGCAGTCTTTCTAGTTAACCACTTATCTCAACTACTACTCATTTCATAAACAGAAAAGTATTCTTACTATCCTTTACACAACTTAATAAACTTTCTGGTGTAAATTTTGATGAAGATAATCGAAATGATTAAGCAACCATCTCTAGAAAGCGGATTCCTGATTAGGATATTTCAAAGGCTAACTACATGTCTCTAGAATATATAATAAAGTTCAGTTACACATATGCATATTCCACACTAGTCAAGTTAAAAAATGTTTAAATTGCTGCATAAAAACTACAGATGTTGGTTTTTGAAAAAGTAATGATCTATAGGCCTAAGCTTTCTCTAGCTATTATGTCATAATTTTATTTTGGTATTTCTAATTCAATTATCTCCAGATGTATTCTCTTTCAATACTTAGAACATAGGTAAGAAACAGTATCAAATAAATCCCATATAGCTAATAAGTGATCAAACGGTGAGATTCAAGCCAAAATCTGGTTCCCTGACTTAATTCTCCATAACCCAGTGTTCTAAATCCGTATGTTAAGTGACTTGAAAACTGGATACCCAAATGTCCATCCAGAGTGTGTCCAAACAGAAGATGGAAGAATATTCTAGAAGTTAATAACACTTGCTGAAACATTGTAAATAGCAAGTCCAAAGTGGCTAGCCATTTTCATCCTGTACATAGTTGTGATTTAGAAGTTATGAGAGTATACTCCCTTCATTGCAAAATATTTCTTGTGATATTAGTAATAGAAAGTGATCCAAGGAAATGAATAAATATATTAATTCAATGGAAAGGAGGCCAGGGTTTTACCATGATCCCATTCTGGGCATTAGAAAGTAGTCAGATAAATTGGTTTCTGCTCTTATCAGTGCAATTCTCTTCCAAAAGTTACTGCCATTAGTCAGATAACTCCTATGGAAACTTATATTTAATGTCTTCACTAAAAAAAGGAAACTTTATGATGGTCTTGAAAAACCATCACACTGGAAAATATGTGATAGTGATTGTATTGGCAACTCAGATACTGTCACAGTTGGGTTCCCTGGGGAAATTATTTTGAAATGGAGAATGGCATGCAAGAAGTCTATTAGCAAATTGCTGTGGAGGACAGAAGGAAGACAGGCTTGGAGAAAGGGAGAGATGTTACTAAGATGTAGTCACAACAAAAGCCTCAGCTCATCTAATAGGGAACTCTGGAGCAATGAAATTGTGTGTGTGTGTGTGCGTGCGTGTGTGCGTGTGTGTGTGTGTGTGTGTGTGTGTGTGTCCCCATCATAAATATATAATCTTTTCTATCTCAAGTGAATATAGTTTTTGATCTACCACTCTGATGAGAAGGGAAAGAACACATTTGACAGATCAATGGCCACAAACCATGTAGCTGTTATTATCTTAAACTGTTCTAGCCAAGGTTTATATCTAGTACAGACACTGCAGTTAGAGTTACTACTTAGCTGAGTTTTCAATAGTCCACTGTCATCCTCCAGTGTCTAGTTTTTACAGAGGTCAGAGTGGTAAATTAAATGGAATTATAAGGCTCAACATTCCCACACCCTTTAGGTCTTGAAGGGCGCTAATCTCTGCTTTCCCATGGGATGGAATATTAATTTTGGTTTACTATCTTGGCCAGGAGATGGGGCAGTTTTGGAGTCTTCCACACAGCTTTCTCTTTAAGACAGTTCTAACACACACACCAAGAAAGGAATAGCGGTTCTGTCAACGCCCAAGTATGTTCAGTCTGAATATTTATTCTGAAAATAAGGAGGTGACAGGGAGTCTAAGTAGGCGGATGATCACTCATTCTGAAAGTAGTAGTCAACAGGGGGTCTACCGCTGGGTAGAGCTGTGAAGTCAATGGACCTAGTATTAAGTAATACCTGGGAAAGAACTCCAGTTATTATCTGAATCCCATATCCCACCTTACTCCAAAAGGTAGACTCTAGTGACACTCTGGTCAACAGAGAGAGACTCTGTCTCAAAATATTAAATAAATAAGAAGTATTAAAGTAGTCAACAAGGAGAAAAAGTGGGAAACTCTCTGGCCTCCCACACATCTGTGGCTCCTGGTCCCTCCAAGCACACTGTGACATCTTGCAGGGGCCACCTGAGGCACCCTTGTGCCTCTCTGATGCACTGCCACGCCCACTGGACTTTAGCATACATCTAACCCTTGACTGGCTTTAGGATGCTGGGAGGTCCTTAAACTCATGAGTGTTTCCACATCTATGCCCTTTAATTTAAAGGGATTATGGAAAGAATATTTATCCCTTCTTATGTCAGAAATACAACACATATCCAGCTGAAAAGTAAATACAGGAGTCTTTTAATTCCTTGTAAGAAATATTTCCTAGATAATTGCATGTATTTTAATAATCACAGAGACAGTCTTATCCTTACTCAGTCATTACCAAAAATACTGTGGTAACAGTTTATACTCCATAGATGCAAATAATCTCATCACTTTGACATGAAAAAGGCAGAAAGACAAAACACAAATTCTGAGACAGAGATTAAAACGATACAACATCCTTACATTTTTTTTGTTGTTGTTTATTTTATTGTTTGTTTCATTGTTTGAATGTTTATCTTGGAAGAGCCTACAGAAATGAGGGAAAATATCTGCAGGCTAATTTTAAATAACACGAGACAAAGATTAAGCATTAAATATAAAAAATAAAACTTTTAGCTGACTTATTAAACTAGGAAGAATTTTCCTGAAACACAGCAGTTAAATTGGTCTGAAATGCATTCATAAATGGAGAACATGGTTCTCGTCTATGAAATATTTTAAACATTGTGAATGCTACCAAAAAGCTCATCAGAATATAAAAATTTTCAAGTCCTCTAAGCAGACTAAATACAAGTTAGTTTTTAACCTGAATTCAGAAGTGCAAAATCTGTAAAAATAGAAATATTGTCATTATTCTCAGAAATCTATGGATTAATCCTACAAATCCCTAAAGTCTTTTCAGTAACATGAACCGGGATCTCTTCATAAGTTCCTTGCTTAAGTGGCAAGTAACTTTTGAAGCTGGGCTTCTGAATCCGTAGGGAGAAGCAAGCTGCATTCGCAGCATTGCTCCCTTTGAAAATTATCTTCTGAACAGAAGAACGTCCAGCAAAGATCGTCAATGCAACACTCCCTGCATATGTGCAAGTCTGCATGAGGGGTCCCCCACAGGTGCAACTCCCAGCCAATGAACCAGAAACAGATAAAAGACAAGAGAAGAAAGCAGAGGTCAAACGTTTCCATTTACAGATGCTATCCCAGATAAAATGCCAAGGGCTTGGCCGTGCCTGGTGGCTCATGCCTGTAATCTCAGCACTTTGGGAGGCTGAGGCAGGTGGATCACGAGGTCAGGAGATGGAGACCAACCTGGCTAACCTGGTGAAATCCTGTCTCTACTAAAAATACAAAAAAGTAGCTGGGCGTGGTGGCACACGCCTATAGTCCCAGCTACTCGGGAGGCTGAGGCAGGGGAATTGCTTGAACCCGGGAGGCGGAGGTTGCAGTCAGCCGAGATCACACCACTGCACTCCAGCCTGGCAACAGAGGGAGACTTCATCTCAAAAAAGAAAAGAAAAGAAATCCCAAGGGCTTTTGGAATAAAAATGGACAATATGCAAAGATGAGAGAACCACATATAAATCATGTTGGAAATTTAAAATGCATGTACCACACATGAACACAGAACTCTTTAAATGCAGCTGTAGGAAGTTCCATTTGGGGGTCATCCTCTTTGGAACTCCCTTTTGAGCAACACTCCTTGTCATTTCTTTTCTTTTCTTTTCTTTTTTTTGAGACAGTCTCACACTGGCACCCAGGCTGGAATGCAGTGGTGCAATCTCAGCTCACTGCAATCTTCACCTCCCAGGTTCAAGTGATTCTCCTGCCTCAGCCTCCTGAGTAGCTGGGATTACAGGTGCGTGCCACCACATCTGGCAAATTTTTGTATCTTTAGTAAACACAGGGTTTCACCATGTCAGGCAGGCTGGTCTCGAACTCCTGACCTCGTGATCCGCCCGCCTTGGCCTCCCAAAGGGCTGGGATTACAAGCGTGAGCCACTGAGCCTGGCCACTCCTTGTCATTTCTAACATCTGATACATCTGTACTTCTGAATAATCATAACTGGTACTCAAAGCGATGACCTGACACCCTCCAAGGTTCTACAAGGTGACCAAATCAGAGAGGTCACATCATGCCTAGCATTATTTTTGGGTTAGCATACATTTTATAATAATTATTTAAAATTGGTAATCCATTTTTGGGCTGGCTCAATGATAGCTCTCTCTATTAATCATATCGTTTTACTAACTGAAATAGTCCACTCTCTCAGTAAGATTAATGATCTGAGATTATGGTACAACCAAAACCAAAGCTGGAGCAATGGGCTCTTGGAATGGAACCACCCATTGTGAACCATTCATCTGACCAATTCTTGAACTTTCTTCCTAAATGTGAGATTGCAGGGTGTTTCAGTGCCGCCTGCACAATTCATAAAGTAGGGTCCTCAGATTAAAGACCTTACATTTTCGTAGAATTCAGAACCATGTTTCACTCAGCAGACTCTCTATTTGCTCACTTTCTTCTACGTGTAATTGTCCAACTTTGGTTGACTATTAAGTCCTCATGGAAGATTGCCATTCCGCCCCTGAGCCTCTCCTTTAGGGACTTGGAAATGGAAGGTAGTGCAGTTCTTTCTGGGCATCTGCCATGCATGGAACCCCGGGCTTCTTGGGGTAAGTTCGACGAGCAAGTTTAAAGAACTCTTCTGCAGCATCAAGTGCAATGAGACGGTCCTGCAAAAACAAACGACAAAGAAACTGCTGGTGAGATAGAAAACAAGACACGTTGGTGGGAAAAATCAGTGTAACTACAACAAAACCCACCCTGGAAATGACCATGAGCAACTAAGATGTTTATTAATTTATTCCTAACAAATGTAGAGACACACCTTAATCCTTTACTTACATTTTCCAAGAAACATTCCCCCACTCCTTAGAGTCTTTCCAGATTATCTGTTAGTCTTATAGGTTATATAAACAATACTTCTCACATCTCTTTGACCTACAAATTGTTCAGAAAATAGACTACACAGCAGAACTCGCTGAAAAATACAAACTCTTGAGCTGGAACCCAAGCCTCAGCAGGTCCAGGTGTGATACAGAAATCTGAACTTCTAAAGCTCTTCAGGTGAATCTGATGCTGCGGGCCATTGGGAACCAGTGCATATAATGCCAGCATCTTCCACCTCATATGCGATAGTGACGGTGGCATTGGAATAAGGAGGATAGTGAATAGTTTTTAAAAAGGCAAACATTTAAAGCAAAATTAGGGCAGATTAAAAAAAGAGCATCCACTCACCACAACAAAGAGATATCTCTCTGAGAGCTCCCAACTTGTTGGGAAAATATTGGTTTCTTCAGCCAGTTTTAACAACATCTCTCGAGCTTTCCTTGTGTTTTTGGAATCGCTGATGGTGCTGAGTTTAGTCACTGACAACAGAGAATCAGCTTCCCTTTGAAAACCTAAGGTAGAAAAAGTTACCGCTCATATAAAGTGGTCCCAAATTAACAAGTGTCCTTCAATATGGTCCCTGCAGGAGAATGTGATCAGACCCATGTGGATTCTGTGCAAGCATCAAGCATCAAGCATCAAAAAACTGAAGCCAAAGGCTCTACGCCATGTGCTGCCTCCCAGATCCCTGTGACTTGCAGGACCTTTAATTAAAATTCTTTTGGCATTTTTTTTCTCTTTGAAAACGTTTCCCTCAGAGCCTCAGATACTCATCCACTGGCTGCTTGCCACCCTGTTTCTGGTTTGAAGCCCTTTCCTGTCTTCCCTACTCTATACCTTCCCTCTGTCCCCAGAATTCCTACCTGCCTCCCCATCTGCAATGTGGTTCCCTCCAGACACTCCTTCTCCAAACCTAGATTTCCTTCCTCAGGGTAATATGATCGGCTGGTAAAAATCACTTACCCAAAAGTATGAAGACTCAAAGACTTAAACCTACTTGGAGTAACTTACATTGTTTTAAAAAAAAAAAATTATCTCATAACAATACTGGACATGCAAAGAGGGCAGAGGTCCCAACCCATCCCACTGCATGCCAACCAAAGCCATAGAGACCAGTTACATGGTGCCCCAGGCTTGAAAAGCTATGATGCCAAGATGTCACATTCTCTTTCAAAGCAAAAGGATCATGGACTTCAGAACTGATAAATTCACTTTTTAAACATTGAAGCAGGATTATTTTATAATGTGGGGGCCACATTTATTGTATCAAAATTCCTGGGAGAACTGAGAAAAATCATTATTATTAACCATTAGTGATTAGGGCAGACATCTACCCTAATGGCACAAGTGTTTTTCCCAACCTCGAAGCTTTTCTTTCCGTATTTCTTCTGAAATTCTACACTGAGTTTTGCTGTCTGTCTTGGAAACAATATTTCTCCCAACCTGCGTCATCTTGCAAAGCAATGACTAAGTGGCCAACACCCCCATCTAATTAAATTAATGTACAATGCCAAAAAGTAAATGGTAGTGCTCATATGACTGCACTGGACTGTGTACCCTATACTGGGGACAGATGGAGTAACACATGGCAGAGTGTGTCCTGAAGACATGGACTGGTGACAATAGAAACATCAGGCATTTATGCATGAGGATGTAAGAGCAAGATTGGGAAAATAATTAGTACACAGTAGCCTTAATTAGTCAATTATCGACATTCCTTTTATAAAAACTAAGGTGGAGAAATTGAACAATAATGATAACAACTAGTTATTTTTACCATTTCACAATCTCTTTCAGACTTACCTAAATCTTCTAAGATGCGCTTCCATCTGTTTCTTACCTCCCTTCGAATCTGCCGCAGGGTATAGATATCGTAGTTGAGTTTCTGCCACTCCTGTAAGAAAATAAAAGTTTAGTTTTATTTACACCCCTTGGCTTAAACCTCTATCTCATTCCTAAACTTTGTGTGACTTAAACATATGGTTCTTCTCTTTTATTAATCTTCAAAGCATGCCTAAGAGAAGAGAAGGAGATGGATGCAATTGTCGATAGGAATACTGTAGGCTACCACTGCTGGAGATCTGATGTGCACCAGGTGATATGGCACCTTGAATAAATTCTCTCACTTCAACACTTCACATTACATATTCTCTCAACTTAATGATCTCACTTGTCAAGTGGAGTTAACAATGATAAATATTCCATTTAAGAGTGTTATAAAGATTGATGAATAAAAATAATAAAATCTATACGTTATTAAAGCCATTTTATAGATACAGTAACTAAGGCCCAAAGAGCTTCATTGACTAACCCAATGTCATCAGGTAATAGGTATCAGAATAGGTATTTGAACCCAAGTCTGGCTTCAAAGTTCATAAGAAACTGACACACACACACACACACACACACAAATCTAGGTCTCCCTTTGTTATCAGAATAAAGTAGACCTGAAAATCCCAAGTTTCTTGATTCCTGGGCAATGTTTTCTTCACCATATCTCAGCAACATAGTTTTTTATTTATATTCCCTGGAAAGGATGAATCTGTCACAAATTCAACTTTATCAACTGACTAAAGTTCTTTATCAGTCCTATGTATAGAGAGCCATCCATGTCCCAATATAGAACTTGAATCTTTTAGGAGCATTATAATCCTCCTTGGGATAAGTATGCCTTTAAAATGTCATAGAAATTTGTTTTTAAGGAGCCTTGTCACTATGAAGCAGTCATTTTATAGAATATACCTTTTACTGTTTCTTAGCAAGGACATTAACCACACAACTAACACACAGCTCAAAAGAACATCATTTTAAATGCTCAATTTAGAACTCAAGTTATATGATATTTAGACTCCTCTAACTGAAAATGTTTCAATGATGCCATTATTCCTCTGTTCAAGGCTTGCCATGGTTATTGCTAATCAACTCGTGACTGGTTAAGAAAAACCTATTTAGCTGCCATTCACAAAGGTTTATAGATACCACTTTGAAAAAGAAAAGCTAGCTAAACAAATTGTGTTTTGTTATGACTGCATTTTAGATCTTGAATCTGAGGATATGCCATCAGCAGGACATGGGCATTCAGCTATTTTCTAGAAGTCAGGAAGTGGCAAGTTTGAACGCTCTTTCCTGGTTTTCTTCTTTTTGACCAAAGGCATGTTGAATATGCATGTGCACAAGTGCATGGTGATTGGGGTCAGGGACAAAGTCTGTGACCTTAGAAGAGGGTGAAGTTAACTAAGTCATCTAAGAAATATACAACCCTGACTTTATCTTTAACATGATGTTAAAGCATACCTATCTAATCCCCCACACAGTACATAACTTGTAGAGGAAAAAACTCAAGTACTGCTGTCTTCATTGGATGGACCTTATACTTACTCGGCCACTCAGTATAGCATATTGGAAAATACTGTGGGTGCTGACCCTGAGTGTCTGGATTTGAATCCCAGCTATTTGTTGACAGCCTGACTTCAGAGAAGTTCTTAACCTCACTGTGCCTCATCTGCGATATGGGGATAATAAAACTACCTACCTCATGGGCTTATTGTGAGGATCAAACGAGTTAATGCAAGCCCTTTAAGTGGAGGTTGGTCCACATGCTCCTCCAAATCAGTGTAGCACAATTAAGAAACAATCCTAGGTCAGGAGTACTGACTCACACCTATAATCCCAGCACTTTGGGACACAGAGGTGAGCAGATCACTTGAGGTCAGAAGTTCGAGACCAGCCTGGCCAACATGGCAAAACCCCACCACTACTAAATAATAATAATAATACAAACATTAACTGGGGGTGGTGGTGCACGACTGTAATCCCAGTTACTCAGGAGGCCAAGGCAGAAGAATCGCTTGAACCCAGGAGGCAGAGGTTGCAGTGAGTTGAGATCGTACCACTGCACTCCAGCCTGGGCAAGGGTGAGACTCTGTCAAAAAAAAAAAGAGCCAGGCACAGTGGCTCACGCCTGTAATCCCAGCACTTTGGGAGGCCAAGGAGGGTAGATCACGAGGTCAGTAGATCGAGACTATCCTGGTCAACATGGTGAAACCCCATCTCTACTAAAATACAAAAAATTAGCTGGGCGTGGTGGCACATGCCTGTAGTCCCAGCTACTTGGGAGGCTGAGGGAGGGGAATCACTTGAACTCAGGAGGCGGAGGTTGCAGTGAGCCGATATCGTACCACTGCACTCCAGCCTGGAAACAGAGTGAGACTCCGTCTCAAAAAAAAGAGAAAGAAAAGAAATAGTCCTTCAGGAGTCAGAATTATTTCTACCATGAGCATGTAGACACGAAACATTACATTATTCAGTATCCAATTTGTGAGGATCTCCAGAATAAAAATTTATCTGCTCTAAGTATCAAATGGTTTTATCGTTCCTAAAAATCATTCATCTTTCTGGACATTGTAAATTTTATAACTGATCTAATTCCACTTATGCCTGAAAATTTCAAGTCCTTTCATGAAAAAAAATATACAGGATTTCACAAGCATTTTTTTAATCACTTCCATTTCTGGCTACTTTTTATGTCTTTATTCATATTTTCCTCTTTCTTTCCTGTATTATTCTAGTTTGTCTTATCTCACTATACTTTCATGTAAGTTGCCTTAACTCCTTTTAAATAAAGAGATGGCAGTAAAATAAACTAAATATTAGGCAGAGCCACACTGTGCTTATTCTCAATGAAAATGGCCTCGCTTTTTGGACTTCATGAAAAGTGACCAGATTCTTCGTCACACTTGGTTAGAGACTCACTCAATCCATGGATGAGTTGCCGCTTAGGTTCACACAACTTTAACTTATGAAACAAACCACTAGGTGGCTTCGCCAACTTAGTTAAAGGTCTCCACCAATTTTTCTTTTAGCTCCTTAGGCTGATGTCTTAGGCCTTGTTCTAAGTGCAGCCAAATCTCCATTTTTCAGAGACTCATATATCATTGGATCATCCAGGCGTTGGACTTTTCAAACATCCTTCCCTTCCTGCTGTCCATCTATTAGTCATTTTGCTATTCCTAAATAACAACAATGAATGTTATATGAATTCATTCAGTTTCAGTGTCTGTTACTCTGATAAAACATTTGTTGGGGAAGCAACACATAACTCATAATCAATAGGAGATTAAAGATCTGCTGAGGACGGCTCCACAGCTGATGCGTCTTTGCATCCCACCTTCCCCTACCATGGTTTGGGGACAACTTGCACATGACAGGTGCTTATGAAAATTAGTGGAATGAAATTACGGATGTCATACTTCCAAATTATTAGTCTTCTTTTGACAGGATAATCATGAATAATCATACATGAATGGATCTGGAAATTTTATGGAAAATTTAAAGCTCTAAAGCCAGTAGAAGCATTGGTAGAATTTTAACTAAGAATAGGCACTTGATTAAATGATTGGTAAGAGGAGAATCTAAATTCCTCTTAAACATATGACTCCAAAGAATAGGATCTTGAGATGGTTTGTCTCTGTGTCCCCACCCAAATCTCATGTCGAATTGTGATCCCCACGTGTTGAAGCAGGGCCTGGTGGGAGGTGACTGGATCATGGCGGTGGTTTCTAATGGTTTAGGACCATCCCCCTGGTGCTGTCTCGTGATAGAGTTCTCAGGAGACCTGGTTGTTTGAAAGCATGCAGCGCTTCCCGCTTCTCTCTCTCTCTCTCTCTCTCTCTCTCTCTCTCCTTCCCTCCCCTGATGCCATGTGAAGAAAGTGCTTGCTTCCCCTTCATCCTTCTGCAGTGAGTGTAAGTTTCCTGAGGCCTCCTAGCCATGCTTCCTGCATAGCCTGTGGAACTGTGAGTCAATTAAACTTCTTTTATTCATAAATTATTCAGCTCATGTATTTCTTTATAGCACTGTGAGAACAAGCTAATACAGATCGAAATGCACCAAATGAAAATCAGTGATGTAAAAAATCTTATCCAATTACGTCTCTCCACAACTAAAGAAACTAACTCCCGGATGGGCGTGGTGGCTCATGCCTCTCATCCCAGTACTTCGGGAGGCCGAGGCAGACAGATCACCTGAGGTCAGTTCAAGATTAGCCTGGCCAACATAGTGAAACGCTGTCTCTACTAAAAATATAAAAATTAGCTGGATGCGGTGACGCACACCTGTAATCCCAGCTACTTGGGAGGCTGAGACAGGAGAATCGCTTGAACCCGGGAGGCAGAGGCTGCAGTGAGCTGAGACCATGCCACTGCACTCCAGCCTGGGTGACAGAGCGAGACTGTCTCAAAAAAAAAAAAAAAAAAAGAAAGGAAAAAAAGAAACTAACTCCCCTACTCCCTAGCATTAGAGCAAGTCTTCCGATGTCCCTCTCCAATTTTTAAATTGTAATTATTTATTTTTTAAGCTTGAAACAAATAATTTGAAAACAACAGTTAAAGGTCAATTAAATATTCTTCCCAAGTGACTTCAATGCAATGCTACAAAACATCAAAAGTTAAAGTCTTTTTTCTAAAATAATATTTTATTTGTTTCTCCTTAATTTCTGAAATAATACATTGTGGTCAGTGTGATGCTACAGCCCTGAACTTTAACAATAGGTAAATTAGCAAAGGTACAGCAAAAGAAAACATACCGAGCTAATTTCATAAGATACCTGAGGACAAGTCAAGCTGAAAAACATAATTGAAAATGAATAACTGAAGATGTTTATAGATGAATTCTTGGGGGTTTTTTTCCTCATCAGTTGTTGGCCAAATCAGATTAGGGCTGCTAGATAAGAAGGTTGAGGCAACAACATGAAAGGCAAAAAGAACTGAATGTCCTGCCACCATCAGTGGCTAATTCTCCTCCAGCTTTTGATGCCCAGGAGCTGACCTTGACCGTGAGTCCTGATTTAAAGCTCCTCAGATCACAATCTTATGCATAAAACTGAAACAACATTTG